TTTGTATTCTTGCTATGGAGTTGTGGGCCACAACCCAACTGAAACTAGTAATGACTAAGACTAATTGAAAGCATATGGAGTTTGCGTTAATCATGACTGGCATACTCCATTGATTTGAGGAGTACTCAGTCATGATCTACAGCTAGAATGGGACATCTTTCCCATCAGCAGTGTAGTTTCTCAGAAAGTTAATCATACTAATCTTATGACCTTATGACTTAAGAGAGAGAAGGAAAGAAATGTCACTGGATTGGAATTGTTTTAATGATAACAGCAAAATGCTTGTTTTGTTTTAGTCAGTGAGGGAAATTGTGTAAATTAGATAAATTTTGAAAAATAAATGCATGAATTATGCATATTTCAATGTAGGAAGACAACTGTCTTTCAACCTAATACATAACAAGGCTGAGAAGAAAATGTGGGATTCATAGAAATGTAATGAAAAGGATACAGAGTTTTTCACATCCCTAATTTAAACATAAACAATGTTCTCTGGATTTGAGCCATTCCTTTTACCTGAAAATGGGAATCATAACCACTTATCTCTTCTTTTGCTCAAGTTAAACTGTGAGAATTCTCTGAACTCAAATGACATGAGAAGAAAAAAATCATGAGATTTCAAATAAACACTTTATTTGAACTCCTGGGATTACTACTTCTGCCCCATCATTAATCACATTTACAACTTTCCTGTAAATAACCAGTTTGGAGATAAACCATGGGGAGGCAGATCAACCTTTAAATGACCTTATCATATGTTTTGTATAGAACAGACTTGTATATTAACTAGTCTTAGTACCACTGGCTGCTTTCATATAACACCTATGGCTTGAATCTAAAACCTTTTCAGACTCTACCTGTTAAAGCAACTGTGTGATTTAAAGTACATATGCTGATATTCCTGTATGATAGGTTGCCATTTAAAATAGAAATAAAACAAAACAAAAAGGATATTAGGCTTCTTTTAGAAAAAGGCAATATTGTGACTAGGTATATGGTTGCATTTATAATGTGTAAATATGTACATTTATACATTACTAACATATAGGGTTGCCAGTTCAGAATCTGAGGTTTATTGACCCAAACTTGAAACCTAGGGATGGCCCCAGATGGATGCCATTAACTGTTATGCATTAAGTACCAACCACAGTTACTCACAAGTTGTTATTCAAGCACAGAGAGAGAGAGAGATTTTCCTGCTTGGAAATTAAGACAGACATTTTAACTAAACAGGCTGTTACCAGGTCAAGGTAAAATGAAAGGATTGTTCCTTTTCGGCTCCTTAAAGAGATAATATAAGAAACATTTAATCAGTTTTCATACTTCTAGATAGAAGGTAGATGCAGAGCAGAGGGTAAGCCCTGGTATCCCAATGGCTTGGTGGGAAGGAAAAGCTAACTAATTCAATACATAGTCTTTACAAATTGCACCAACAGATAGTTGGAGCCTTGGAATTGTAGCAAGCAACTGCTCCATTATCTCAGCTGGAGGTTTGCACACAGTGGGCCCCCAAACTATGAGAATTTGCACCCCTGTCTCCCACTTGGAGAGGATCCATGAAAACTTGGGGCCAGGCCCTGAAATCTGGAAACATTATTTATGTTTTATGTAGATGAAATATTGGCACCATTCCCATATGTATCCCAAAGGCAGAAAGAAAAAAAGTAGCATGTCAAATAGGTGACACAGAAAGCAGACAGCTTTATTCCTTTCTCCTCAGACTTGCACAGGAAGAAACAAGTCAAGAAGGGCATCTCATCCTTTTTCAGTTAGTGAGGAGAGATAGTGGAATTTGCCTTCAAGATAATTCCAGCAGTTGGGTTTAGATGAGGATCAGGGCCATGGAAAGATAGGGACTTGTCTGGAGACCTTCACAAACTGTTTTGGACACTGTCAACATCCCTTTGGAGATCATTTCTGCGAAGATACATGTAAATATTTTACCCTAGACAAGCATTTCACACACAAAATAACCTAGAAATTCAACATCTCAGTTTCAACTTCTCTGTTGTATTGAGCAGGGCCTACAATTGTTACATATAGCAGTATGGTTATGGTGACCATATGGAAAAGAGGATACATCTCCTGCACCTTTGTTAATAGGACCCCTGAACTTGCTGAAATTAATTATTAAAGGTCCACCAGTTTGGCCCTCTTTTCCTTCTGTTGCTTCAGTTACTATTCATTCTTTTCCCCATGCATTCCCCAGGAGTTTTGGTCTCTCCTGCACCTTGAGAGACCTGTGTCAGAAGTACATCAATAAAATCATGACCTGATTATTCAAAAATACACCAATCCTGAAAGGAGTTTAAAGTTAAATAGATTGATGGCTACTTATTCTTTTTTTTTTAAAAATATTATTATTTTAGCATTGGTTTTTCAGATATTCATACATGGATTTCTCTTCTGTGAAATATTTATACCATAGAGGACAAACGCAGTTGCATAAGCAGATATGGGACAACATCGGATTTTCTCCAAAGCAGTTTTTGTAGACTTCATTACTCCAGACTGCTTAGACTATCTTTCTTCTAACCTTTTTTTTTTTTAAAGTGAAGAGCCATTTTTTCCAAAACTCACAGTTTTTCAAAACCAGAAGTGAACTTCCAGCCATTTTGGGTAGGGGGCATTTTGGCAGTCCATGCAGTCCCTGAAGTCTGCCTGGGACAGAAAATTGCCACCTTGATCTGCTGCAGTTGCCCACCACTTATCTATACATATCAAGCACTTAAACTATGTGACAGGATATAGATGAATAATAATAATATGAATCAATTTGCATTCTTTTAATCCTGAGAAAGATGGTTTTGCCCCTGATTAATAAATGTTTTTTATCTTTGTCCTGCCTTACAGGCCAGTGAGAAGCGAGTTCATTTCACAGTGTCTCGGCAAACCAGGCCACAGACTCCTGATATCTTGCAGGAGGCTGGATGGGATTACAGTGGAAGCCATCCACCCTTTCCTGGTCTGAGGAACAATCCTAACAAGGTGAAGCCTAGTGTTCTTTCCTCCCCTCATTATGGTTTCCTCTGTGAAGGGAAAAGAAGGGAGGCAGTGGTCTGATGCATTGACTAATGTGTTAGTGTTTAAGAATCATATCTGGAGAGTATCACCAAAAAGAGCACCATTTAACTGTTGCAGTGTAAACACAGAAACTGTGGCTTTCATTGTTTATATACACTGGGAAGTGCTGCTGTCTTGTGAATAGGTGATGGGAAAGAACTCACAGGAAGTGTGGTGGGAAGAATGTGAAGGGAAGAAAACTATAGAACAAATGTGTGTTGGTGACAGGCACACCCAGTATTCTATATTCCTAACCATACTCCCCAGCAAAATGTAATGCACTTTAATAATAATAATATAAAAAATAAGAAGCTTATCTGCATTTCC